ACTAGTGGTAGTACTAGTAGTAGTAGTAGTAGTAGTAGTAGTAGTAGTAGTAGTACTACTACTAGTAGTAGTGGTAGCAGTAGTAGTAGTAGTAGTCGTCGTCGTCGTCGTCGTCGTAGTCCTAGTCGTAGTCGTAGTAATAGTAGTAGTAGTAGTAGTAGTAGCAGCAGCAGCAGCACCCGTAGTAGTAGTAATAATAGTAGTAGTAGTAGTAGTAGTAATAGTAGTAGGAGTAGTAGTAGTAGTAGTAGTAGTAGTAGTAGTAATGGTGGTAGAAGCAGTAGTAGTAGTAGTCGTCGTCGTCGTCGTCGTGGTGGTGGTGGTAGTTGTAGGCGTCGTAGTGGCAGTAGTAGTAGTAGTAGTAGTGGTGGTAGCAGTAGTAGTGGTTATGGTGGTGGTAGTAGTCGTGCTAGTGGTGGTGGTGGTGGCGGTGGTGGTGGTAGTGGTCGTGGTGGTGGTGGTGGTGGCCCCTTGGCAGAACAGTCGCAGCACAGCGTTGTGCAAGAACTGCTTCAAAAAAAAGTCATGCTCTCCCAATGTTGATTTCTGATGATTTCTCGCGGGGAATATTCTTACACTGTGGATGTGACACACGGAGCCGAAACAAGGCTCGCAACAATTAGGAACCCGCACCACATGCGCGCGAAGGGCACGAGTGCGGGGCCGGCGGGAATGCGGCAAGCGACAAGCATGCCCGAACGGGCCGCCCGAGCCTGGAACCTGTTTCTACCCGCACCGCACTTGCTGCTCCACCGCGCCTCGCGAGCCGGGCATCTGACGCTGCACACGACGAGACCGTTCGCGAACGGTGCCCACCACCTGGCCTGCGCTAACGTGCCGCGGGGCAAAGTCTCTCGTGCGAAAGGTACCTTATAACATCCGCCGCGATCGCGCCCGGCACGGACGAAACCTTTGCTGCTTTATGTGATCTGCCACGGCGCCCGCCGTCGCCCCAGCAACCAGCAAGACGTACTGCAGTATCTGCTGACTCGTCTGCAGTGCTCACCCGATGCCGCCGTCGCTCAACCTCTGCAGACTGTCAGGCGAAACTGCAAGCTACTGCTCGATGATGCGAAGGCATTCGAGTTGTTTGTGCATGCAGCCAACCGTCACGCATCCCGGCAGACGTTGCTGCCCCCTTAGGCCTTGCCCGCCTCACGCGCCGAACTTTGACGAGGCGACCCGGTCGTGCCAAGTCGCGCTGCAGACACGGACTTCGCATAGAGCACATGGTGCCAGGACGAACGCACGTCGCACGATACTACGGTACAGCGCAAGGAAACCGGCATACTTGACAGCATCGAGGCTGGACCACACGGGGGCCGGATGCCCACAAGGGCGGGCCTGCCCTTCCCCGCTAGGCCGCAGCAGCAGTGTCGTCGTCAGTGTGGGGAGGCACGTCGTCGAGGCGGTCGTCCGGGCCCTGGTCGCCTTGCGCGGTGGACCGGCGCAGCTATGTGTGGTCGCGCCCGACTTGGTGTCGGCGTTTCTGGCCCTGGAGCGGGCGCCTCTCCGTGTGAGAGTTGGGGTGGCGGCAGGAACTCGGGTGGCGCACCAGGTGAGGGCACGGCATGTGGCAACACGTCGGGTTGACGAAGCGCATCAATGTCCCTTTCCAAGCTCGACGCGCCGTCCTGGCCCCGCAGGAGGGTGAGCAACCCCTCCTGTATTGCGGCCGGGAAATAATAATGAGCGGCCTTCCTCCGGCAAAGCGACGGCATGCAACATCACACTCAGTGATTCGGCGTCGGAGGAGCGAGGCGTCGCCCACGCCACCAGTCGCCGGAATAAGGCCAATTGGCTGAGGTCGTCCCAGCGTGCTTGTCCGACAAACGCGATGGCAGCGATTGTGTCGTGCACAGGAAGAAACGGTCGAGCTGGCACTGCCTCGACCTGCCGTCGCCACCAAACGCAATTGAAGCCTCGGCTCGGCGGTCCATGTAGCTCGCGTCTCGGGTAAAACCAAGGCATGCAAATGCGCGAGTTGGTATGCTGGGTGAACGGCGGCGACGGCGGAGACATTTGGGTCAAATCAGTGACGACATGCTGGAGTGTAGGGTGGGCGCGGGATGAGCGGCAATGGCGTCAGATTAGCATTTGACTGAGCAGCAGCATGGAATGTTAGCTGTTAGTGCTCTCGTCGTGCAGGCTCGCAAAGACCGCACACCCAGTGTTCAATGCGTTGGCTCATGTCCACCACCCACAGCATGGGACTGGGTATGTTGCACCGCATGCACACGGGGGCCGGTGAACGCGCTCCCACTCCAGCTCGCTGGAGCAGTGCATGCAGAGCGACACTGCAGTCCAACTTGCGATGCCGGCGGGCCCACGGTGCCCAATGCCCGGCTGTCAGCCAGCTCGACGAAACCCGAGGCGGCGACAACAAACGGCGCGCGCACACGTGAGCAGGCTCCGACAGCTCCGCGGTGCCAGCACGGGAGAACGCGCGCGTTGCGTAGTCATGCGGGTGCTGCAAGCAACTTTTGTGCAGCGTGGGTGCGGGCCGCCCGGAGTGGCCTGTCTAGGTCACTCCAGCAGCTGGCCATCGCGAGCAGAGCAGGATGCAGGGCCGCCGCGTCCCCCCGCCGGGGAGTCTGCGGCTCTTGAGCTGCGCATGTGGCCAATGGCTGCATTCGTAAGCCCATGTCGGAGGAGAGGACAAGCCACTTCGCCAGCAACTTGCCAAAGAGTGCGGTGCAGTGTGCCCAGCAGGAGCCAATCAGGAGACTCAGACGACCAAACCCCGGCGTGAAGTTGTAGGTCTCCCCCCCGCTGCCTGTGAGAGCCACATCCCGCAGGCAGCAAGGAGGCAGTGAAAGCCAGCCCAAACTGGGTTTATCATCTACGACCTTGTGGAGGGTTCACACGACCTTGTAGGGCGTCGGGGTTAAGCCCATCGGCGTGCAGAGTGCAGGCGCATGATATCGCATGATTGCATATGCAGGTGTGCTGGCGGCCGGCTCGCGGGCGGTTCGAGTGCTTGCCAGACCGTTACTATGCAGATGAGCTTGTCACCAAGAGAAGGAAGCTGCAAAACGGCCTCCCCTCCAGCGATGTTGAAGAGGCGCTTCCCTTGCACGGAGCGAAGCCCCTCAGGGTCATTGAAGTACCTGCACAATGAATCAACTCACACAATCCGTCTCATGAGTAATGATCATGACCGTTAATCCTATGCTGGAATTGATCAAGCCGGCTGCCTCCCAAATCCCTGCTGCGCCAACCTCTGCGATTGCACTTGTGGTGGCGCTGAAGTATAGTTACATCCTCTAGATTCACCAGGGAGAGCAGATGTCACTCACCCCCTTCCAAGCTGCTGGCCCGTTGACTGGACCATGAGGCGCATCAACTTGTCGACGTCGAAGAGGTAAGGCCTGAAAGAAGGATCAGCTCTAATTGCCCTTAGCAATCTGCACAAGCACTGGCAATCTTAGCAAGCATGGCCATGGAGGGGCCCAGATTCTTTTGAGCATTCCATGAGGCAGTCAAGCTTTAGGCAGAGGCGGCACCAAACAGAGCGTGCTGGATAAACATGATAGTGCAAGTTCTACATAGGCTTGAACAGTCTCACAGACTCAAGGCTCCGGTCCGAGCAGTAGCCGAAGATTCCAAGCTGCTCACGGTGTTTCGATCGCAGAATTTGGCACCTCAGACTCTACAGTGCTTGACATGGCTTGACTCCTTGGACTTGCACCCGATCTAACCTCGACAAGCAGGAAGGTCACAACAAGGCTGACTGCCCCGGTAGCCAGTAACAGGCAGGGTGAGGAGTTTCGCATCTAGTCTCGTTGTCAACAGCTGAGCCGTCGAGAGGACTGCACAACCATGATAAGGCAAGGGAAAGCCGGAGAACAGGGCACCAAGAGCCTCTCCGCCTCTCAGCTGGGTGTCAGGCTGACAGCACCGGGCCACTCAGGCTTGCCCTGGGCACATGGGGCACCGAATGGCACCAGCAAGTATAAGGGCTTAGAGAGCATAGTGTTGCCAGCACTACTCGAGATTACAAGTAATGCGCTAGACTCTCGAGAGTCTCACAAGTTCCAGAATGCCAACAGGGCCTCGGCGGGCAAGTCCATGGTGGCGCCGACAGGGTCAGGAGACGTCAGAACACCTACTTCGCGATGCAAGTTCGTTCGATGGTGAAGTTTAGCAGATTCGTCAAAAAAGTTTAAGCCCAATCTTGCATGGTAATCATCACATCACCCTCTCGCAGCTATAAGCCATGACGGCTGCAAAAATCAACAGACATGATACAGAACAGGCTCAGACATGAAGCCGCTCTGACTGTTACTGGACCTGGACATAGTGAGTGGATGCTCATCAAGCCTGTGTTGGCAAACCATGTCCCGCACCTTAGGTCCTTAGGCCTGCTGCTTGAAAGCGATGTGGGAGTCGAAGTGTGAAACGAATGGGCCGGCAAGGGCCACAGCAGTCGGGCGGCGGGGACACGGATACGGACGTCCTCGACGGCGTGGTGAGACGGCGAATGTCGGGCAGAGTTGTACACAATGACAAAGATCTCGTCAGCTCTCGGGCGAGTTGCTGGGGCTCAGGAGACCGCGCCTAGCATGCAGCAGCGCAAGTGCGGGCGGCAATCTGAATCAGAAGAACCCTTCTGAGAGGCAGCAATTTCGAAAATCAGGCCAGCAGAGCCACAGGCGGGGATTGGAGCTCGCTCGCAGCCGGTGCACCTCGTGCCTAGCACGTGCTGGGTGATTCTGCAGAGATGCAGATGTTGTCCAATGCGATCGAGGAGCTCGTAAGTCTCGCGTTGACCACCTCCACTGTGCAACACTCTGACGCTCTGCCGGCACGCTCATGAGCACATGCACGACCGACGCAGGCATCCCAGTAAATTCAAGCGTCCCGCCGGCCCTACTTCCGGGAGAGAGAGAGAGAGACGGGTTTTCCAAAATCTCGGTTCCGGAGTTTTTCCTGCATCCCATGTCACTTTGTTCCCCGGAAAACACCTTTTGACAATTCCAGGACGATGTCGTGCACCACACTCGATCCTTACATCAACGAGCTGCCCGAGTTGACAAGCAATGCCTGTCACCGACAATACAGCCCTGACATGCATTCAGTCTGTGTCCCCAATCCCAACGTTCTGGAGATTCTTCCTGGCTACGCGTACATGGTACACCCTTCAACGACGATCTCAGTTTGTAGGACATTCTGCAGCGGGGTCGGTCGTCCCTCTCGGGTAACTGTACCCACCCCAAGCATCGTCAGTGCAAGCTTGTCTCCTGGACATATCTCGGAAGGATTGCATAGTCCCATAGTCCTGATCCCCCCTGGTATAAAAGGTCCCTAAACCCTAAACCCGAAACCCCATATATATATATGTATATATATATATATATATCCCTGGTATAAAAGGGTCCGGACCGGTGCAAACCGGTGTCCGGGCCTTCCAAGTCTCCGGGCAGTCGCGGCTCTTGCAGCTGCTCCTGCAAGAAAAACCAAGGGGCTTTTTTTCGGCTCTGCTCCCAACTACCTACGAATCTATCTTGACACCTCCCACAGCCTCTCTGCTGCACTGCATCGAATCCTTGCCCTGCGCAACAGTGAACATCAGTGAATGTGCCACCCAGCCGCTCTGAATGCCCCTTGTGTCACTTCTCGAAACCAGAAAATAAGTGTTTCCAATTTCCAAACACTCGCCAGCATGGGTCACTCGCTTGCCCGCATCCCACCGACCCCTACCACATTCCTGAGAACGGACCACTCGCCGAAAAGCAACCGCAGGGATGCGCCGCTCTAGCATGTCTTGGTACCTGCGGGCTGTCAACACATGTACAATGCGCTAGGACGCACTTGGCTGGGCCTCTTTTTCGATGACCGAAGCAAAATCAGCAGCACACACAGCATGACGGTCGAAAGGCCTCGCGAGTCTGCTTGATTTCGGACAGTGAATTGTCACTGATCAGCTCGGGTGCCACATGGATCCACATTGAGGCTTCGGCCGATGATAATGGCTTTGTCAGTCAGGGAGTACGCCTGGCACTCCGATTCGCTCTCGCAGGGCAGCAAGCGAGCGTACTTCAAGGCCCAGTGCCGGCCCAGTGCTGCCTACAGTGCTGCCGTGCCTGCTTCACTGGATCGCCGTCTGCACCGTCTGCCTCTTCGGACATCCGCAGTGATTCTGCGGAAGCAGCTGTCCAAACCTGCCGCCATCACATGGCAGGCAGCACCCACCCATGCAGAGATGGCTCTGGGACATGTGCCCAGAAGGCAGTCGTAGGCAGGGATCCCAGACCTCTGCAAACTCAGCCTTTGCTGATTGGCTGGCATCCTCTCTTCTAGGCGCCGTACATCCCAAGGCAAATCCAGCTGCACTGAGCGAGGTCAGCGAACATGCGTAGTTGAGTGCCTCGTGCATGCGTGAGTGGGAAGCTGCAGACTACCTGTGCCGTGTTCTGCTGCCTCCAGCGGCAGGAACGGACTCATTCTGGCCACGAGTACGAACTTCCAGCCTGGTACACTCTGAAATGCTAACGGTTGAGCTGGGGGCTCCTTGCATCTCTTTGCCTTCCTGCTCGACTATCTCGTCTAGCACCTGCGCATGGACATGTGGCAGAAGGCACCTTGTGGATTGCGCTTGCGCTTTCACCGCTTCAGACAGACTGCAGGAGCCTCTACCCATTCCAAGTGCCGGAGCCTCGCAACGGCAGCTTAGTAGGAGGATGGAGCTCGGCCCTTCTCTTTCCGCACGTCCTCTCTCCCTCGAGATGGGATCGTACGTCGTATGCTTTGCAAGATATTCTGATTTCAACTTTCTCGTCCCACAAGTATCGAGTCTCTTCGCTCGCGGGCCCTAGCAAGTTCCACATTCTCTAACACAAAGCTTCTGTCACTGCAACATGTGACAGGCCTCCTGATCAGACACGATCGGAAGAGGAAACGACCTCACACAAGGCGACTTTTCGCAAATGCACCATGCATTCGTCGAACAAATGCCCAAATATGCCCAAATCAAAATCAACATGGCATTATGCTACTGGTGGCTTCTGTTCACGGTAGCTTGGTTGATAAGAAGCTGCCAAACGCGAAAGGTCACAAAGAGTGGCCATTACAAGCCACCCTGTCTACATGAGTTCCCACGTCATGCAGCAGCACTGACTGGAGCTTGCGGCCGATGGCAAACGAGATGAGTCCACCAACCGAGACGCCGCTGAAGACTGCAGCAGTACCTTTCATTTTCATGCCACGAGAGAAGCAAGTTGCAAAGTTGCTCGTGCATTCCAGGATATGAGTAGGCCGGCAAGCCTGCAATGCATCCTTGCAACACCTTTCCTTTGAAGATGTGGGCAAAAACGACCTTTGAAGCACACTGCAAGCACGCATAAGAAATGCCGTGATTGCCAAACGTAGAACGACGAGTATGTTGAGCTGCCGTCAAGTATAGCTGGGCTTGCGGCTCCGGCTCCAATCCACAATCCGAAAGAAGGCAGGCAGAAAATGTTAGCCTGGCAGGATCACCCATCCATATGAGGTCAGGCGATGAAGAGTGGGACAGGGTGAGACTCAATCGCCATGGTGGCAGTCCCATCGCTGAAGTGTAGCATGCGACACAACTTGTTACTGTTCCCGTGAGTTTGGGTTTGCACTCATCAGGATAAATGACTGGGCCCGCACCACTTTGTTGGTGCTGAACATCGAAGTTATCTCCACTCGGCTCCTCAAAACCTTAAACGGAGTGACTGGTTGCCAAAAGCCGTCTAAGCCCCAAGAGGAGTGACTCGAGATGATGGATAGCAAGTTGGCAAACTCACAACCCCTTTGAAGGATTGCTAGGTTGCCAAAACCAAAAAAAACAGATTCCCTATACTATGCTCTCGTAGTGCTGCTCCTGCGACTGCTGCTACTTCTTACTACTACTACTACTAC